TGACGTGCCTTCTTGTTGTCACAGGTGTCTTCTCTCACCAGCATAGAGGCTATGGCCACAGCTTCATAATCTTCTGCCCTTCATGGCTGCCGCATTAATATCCAAACTGCTGGGAGCCAAAGCGGCCTCTGCCCATACATGATTAAATCACTGCCTTAGAGATTTCATTATCTTGAAATGTAAATTACTAGCAAGTGAACTTACTCCTCATATTTTTCGTCCTTTTATTTGTGTGTGTGTGTGTGTGTGTGTTTGTGTGTGTGTGTGTTTCAGTGTTTCCTAGCAGGTTGGCAGCTTTGGAAGATAATTATGTAGCAGTTGGCTTAGAACAGTGGTGTCTCATTCATGGCCTCATGTTAGAATCACCTGGGGAGCTTTTAAAACTCCCATTGCTCACGCCAAATCCCAGACTGATTAAATCAGAATCTCTGGGGGTGGTGCCCAGGCATCAGTATTTTTTAAAGCTCCCAAGTGATTACAGTGCAGCCAAGATTGAGAACTGTTGGCTTAGAAGGGACCTTCTCTTTTTCATTCATAATGTTTTTATCTGTACCTCATTTTCTGCAGTTGAAGTGAATTTTAAGAATAGATTATTGGTGCCCAAAAACCTCGCTCAAACTTTAGCATACATCAGAATCACTGGAGAGGCTTCTTAAAGCAGGGTTGCATAAATGTTCTCATTTCTTCTTCTCTGATAAGCCCCACTCTTAGAATTCTTGATTTAGTAAGTCTGGGTTGGAACCCAAGACTGCATTTTTAACAAGTTCCCAAGCCGTGATGATACTGCTGGTCCTGGGAACACACTTTGAGAACCTCTGCTCTAATCCCTTCCTCTCACCTTCTTTCTGCTCTTTTCTTTTCCACCAGCGGTGACCAGGGCTGCCACCTCTGGCAGTCCATACAATATCAGTGTTAGGAAAGGCAATGAATGCATAAGGATGTTTAACCTGTTACCCCACCTCAAAGTAATCATACAATTTAAAAAGAATTTACTGTATATACAAATACAATTTCCTCTGCATGCATAATTGCTCCCCTTAAGTCCTTTCTAATATAAAATCAAAGCCACCACTGAATAGATTTCTGATGTCCAAAATGGACCTTGGATTCCGCCTTCCTACAGAAACAATTTTATGGATGCTGGTTAGGTACAGATGAAATCATGCTGTTAAAACCATTCTTCAAGAATATTATAGGCTCAAAGAGACTTTGATGGTCTGCTTCCCATTTAAAGAATTCAATTTCTGAGTTTCAAAGAACCCATTTTTAAACAAACTCTTAGAATGTAACTTAACAATTGCCTGCAACTGAAACATTTGGCTTATTTTGTTTATAGTTATTTTACCCTTTACATTTGGAGCTAAAGTATGGGAGAAAGGATTTGTCATGATTCAGTTAACATTTATTAGGGGACCACAATGTACCTGGCACTGTGCTATTTACTGGGTATATAAAGAGGGAAAAGATAGCCCCTGCCCTAGAAGAGCTCATATTCTAGGCGGGAAAATAAATCTATGGAGCAAATAAAAAAAAATTACCAAGTTACCAATGTGATATGTTCAATAATGAAGAATTGATGAAGGAGGCATCTGTTCTTCTGAGCAAGAGAAAGAGAGACATTGATGGTGTGTGTGGTGGAGCATGGAGCATGTGTGGGTGTGTTTAGTAAGAGGAAGGAGCATGTTTAAGAGTCTTAGAATCAGGGAGAGATTGTTAGGGCCTAATAACGAAGGGGGGTTCCCCATGCAGAAAAGAGGGTAAAGGGCATTCTAGGATGATGGAAGAGTGTGAATGCAGAGGGTAATACTCTACAGAAGAAAGGCAAGTAGTCAGCTGCGTTCCCCAGGAGGTATGATTGGAGAATGACTGGGAAGGGCATTGACCACCCCACAAAGTCAGAGTCTTATCTCAGAGGAAGAAATGAGAAGAGTTATGCTAAGTCAGCATATGTGATATTTGCACCTCTAGCCCATATTTTACTATCTTTCTTCTCCTGTATATTCCCCAATATCGTGAGGAAGACAGTTTCAATTTCAACAAAATATTAATACTTTGAAAATGTCTGAAGGTGGTTTTCAGACTGTGCTCTGAGAAGCCCCCTTGTGCTTGTCTGGGGTGAGGTCAAAAGAGCAGTCGGGACCCAACAGAGCTCCCCCACTGACTCTGCTATTATCCATCTACCTCTCAAGCTTTTCTTTGGAAAATTCCACTTATTAGGCACATCTAAGAATATTATATTTGAAAAAGGGTATACAATTAGAAAAGTTTTAAAACCAATGTGATTTAATCCTCACATGTTTAGTAACAGTCTGCCAACTTGGTGTGGATAGCCACATCTCTCAGCTGCTGGCCAAAGGATAAATGTTCTCAGATAATTAGCTGAAGAGGGGAATCAGGCAGGTGTCAATATGGATGTGTGAGCAGTGATAATTGTTGGTATGATAAGCGTTTAGTTGGCCACAAGAGATAATGACAATATCATATACCCCCAGAATGAACACTTGAAAATCAATGTTAGAATTTTCTTATGAATGCCAGGTGCAATTGCTCACAGCTGTCATCCCAGCACTCTGGGAGGCCAAGGCAACAGGATCACTTAAGGCTAGGAGTTTGAGACCAACCTGGGCAAGACAGCAAGACCCCGCCTCTACAAGAAATTTAAAACATTAGCCAGAGTATGCACCAGGCTGCCTTTCCTGGGCACTGATACCTGAATGCTGAGCGCGAGCCTACGGAGGTGAACCCTTTTACTAAAGTGAAGCTGATCAACGAACTGAATGAGTGAGAGGTCCAGCTTGGGGTGGCCAATAACATGTCCTAGCACTCCTAGTACAAGGACAGCACCTGGATCTTCCTGGGAGGGCTTCCTTATGAGCTGACTGAAGGGGACATCATCTGTGTGTTCTCACAATATGGAGAGATTGTTAACATTAATCTCATGTGGGACAAGAAGACTGGGAAATCCAAGGGATTCTATTTCCTCTGCTATGAAGACCAGAGGAGCACAATTCTGGCCGTTGACAATTTTAATGGGATCAAGATCAAAGGAAGAACTATCTGAGTGGATCATGTGTCTAACTACAGGGTTCTAAGGACTTAGAAGAAATGGACGATGTGACCAAAGAGCTCCAGGAGAAGGGCTGTGGGGCTCGTACCTCCTCACCAAGTTTGTCTGAGAGCTCTGAAGATGAAAAGCCAACAAAAAAGCGCAAAAAAAGACAAAAAGGAAAAAAAGAAAATAAAAAGAGAAAACTGACCGGGAGATACAGGCAGAGCAACCATCCTCTTCGTCACCCAGAAGCAAGACAGTAAAGGAAAAGGATGACCCTGGCCCTAAGAAGCACAGCAGCAAGAACTCGGAGAGTGCTCAGAAGTCAGTGCCCAGGGAGGGGCGGAAGCTCCCCAAGGCCAGGACTGCCTGCTCTGGTGGGGCAGAGAACCTAGAGAGGGAGCTGAAGAAGGAGAAACCACGCACCAGCGCAGGTCCTCAAGCAGGAGGGAGGCAAGAGAAGAAAAGACCAGGGATAAGGACAGAGGGAGGAGCTCAGACACACTTTCTAGCCCGTACAACGGGCGTTCTGAAGGGCGTAGTCATAGAAGTCCAAGTAGGAGCCGAGATAAATCCATAGGCATGAAAGGACCCGGCGCTGCCCGGAGCAGGAGTCTTCGAATCCCAGTGACTGTAGGCGTCACTGAAGACTGTTAAGCTGCTCAGTAGATTTGGAAATAATTATGTTTTCTAAATGCAGTCAAGTTCAGTTGGGTTGTTACTATTTTTGTATCTAAAGCTCCTGGGGCTGGATTCTTTTCACTTCTTGAGTATTAGAGTCATTGAGAGGGCTGCAGTTTCAACAGCTACATATCCTGGATATTCTTCCTACCATTCATTGTCCCTGAACCAGAGTATGTGTCCTGAATTTTGGTTCATAAATATGGCTCTTGAACCCATAGACCCCAGTTAAAGATGGAATTTTCAGGAAAGGGAAAATACCAGATAATTCTAGAATTCTAGTTTTGTGTTTGATATTTAGAGCTCAGCATCGTGGGACCTTTCCAGTTACTAGGTTTGGACAGCTTGATGTGAATGAATGGGATAGGATTTGTAACATCAACCAGCTCCATGCCCAAAACCACCTGTTTAAAAACATGTTTAATGTCTTTTCTTTTTCATTACAACTTTTTTGTTTGATAGGCCTCTTTCCAAATTTTTCCTTGCAATGTATTTATTATTTATTTGTATTGAGGTGAAATTCACATAACATAAAGTTAACCATTTTAAAAGGAACAATTCAGTGACATTTGGTACTGAAAATCCACAATGTTGTGTAACCATCGCCTCTGTCTAGTTCTAAAACATTTTTTATCCCAAAATGAAACCCTGTACCCATTAAACAAGAACTCTTCATTTCCTCCGTCCTCCCCGTCCCTAGCAACCACCAATTGACTTCCTGTTTATGGGTTCGCCTATTCTGAATATTTCATATAAATTGAATTATACATACACAAAAAATTAGCCAACGTAGTTGTGTATTCGTCTAGTACCAGCTACTTGGGAGGGTGGGCGAACTGCTTGAGCCTAGGGGTTTGAGGCTGCAGTGAGCTCTGATCATCCACAGTACTCCAGCCTGGGCAACAGAGAGACACCCTGTCTCAAAAAAAAAAAAAAAAAAAAATTCTTATGAGGAAAAACTAACTTTTAAAAACATTTTATATCATTTTTTATACTTTTAAAACTGTAGTGCTTCTTGATGTATTACCTGTACTTACTGTCCTGTTCAAGATAAAAATATGCTGTGTTAGTTAGTATGTTATGGCAAGAATATGACACTTGCTGATTTGGTTTAGCAAGTAGTGTTATTAGGAATTAAAATATTTTGCACTGCATTTAATTTTCTAATTATTTATGTCATGTTTCGATAATTGTTAATTTAGTTTTAATCATCTTTCTAAGAAAAAAAAGGACTTGCCTCCTTATTCTTTACTTATGTATAAACTTTGCGTTTAAATATAGATTAACTGCCCTGAGGTGATGATGTCATCCTTCCTGGGAGCCAAAGCTTCATGACTTTATATTTCATCATTTCTGTCTGCTGGGGAGACAGAAAAAAAGACCTGAAGAAAATAGCCCAAAGAGATGTTTAGGTACAAAAGAAATAGCTACAGGAGAAAAGAACAGTGTAAAATTAAAAACCTGATGTCTTAGTTCACTCGTACTGCTGTAACAAAATACTACAGACTGGGTAATTTATGTAGAACAGATATTTATTTCTTACCGTTCTGGAGGCTAGGACGGCCCCAAGAGCGAGGCACCAGCTTTGGTGTGTGGTAAGGGCCGCTCTCTGCTTTCAAGATGGCACCTTGTTGCTGCATCCTCCAGCAAGGAGGAATGCTGTGTCCTTACATGGAAGGGGTGGAAGGGCAAAACAGTGTATACTTTCTCTAAAGCTTTCTTTTTTTTTTGGAGATGGAGTTGCGCTCTGTCACCCTGGCTGGAGAGCAATGGTGCTATCTCAGCTCACTGCAACCTCTGCCTCCCAGGTTCAAGTGATTCTCCTGCCTCAGCTTCCTGAGCAGCTGGACTATAGCCATCTGCCACTACGCCTGGCTAATTTTTGTATTTTTAGTAAAGATGGGGTTTCACCATTTTGGCCAGGTTGGTCTGGAACTCCTGACCTCACTTGATCCACCCGCCTTGGACTCCCAAAGTGCTGGAATTGCAGGTGTGAGCCACCACGCCCAGCCTGAAGCTTCTTTTATAAGGGCATTAATCCATCCATGAGACAGAACCCTCATGACTTAACCACTTTCTAAAAGGCCCCAGCTTTTAATACTACTACAGTGGGGATTTCCAATTTGAATTTTGAGGGGGTCACACCTTCAAAACATGGCATCTGGGGAAGAACATTATGTGGTGTGGTGGGCAGGGCACTGGAGTTCTGAATTCTGGCCCCAGCTGTGCCACTAGTTGTGTGCCCTTGGCCTTTTGATTAACATCTCCATGGTACACTTTCCCCTTCTGAGAAGTGTGTTGGGGAGAGGGGTTGGGTGGGAGTGGGAAGCTTGAAGCCAAGAAGTTGTAAATTGCATGCAGTTCAATGTGATGGAAGGAATGTAGAACTTGGAGTCCAGTGGCAAGAGCTCAGATCCAGATCTGACTCACCTGCCTGTGACTTTATGCAGGTTATTTAACTTTGCAATGTCCTTCCCTAGAAAATGATGCCTATGATTCCTACCTTCACTACATGAGATGAAGAACATGAAAGGGCCAGGGCATGTTTCTGATAGCTAAATTTCATCACGAGAAGGAAAATACATCTGCAAAAGCATTCCATTATATGATAGAAGGATGGTAGGTACAGTGCATGTAAGGAAAATAGATGCGTAACTCTTGAAATTTGAAAATGGCTTAAATAAGCCTGTGGGGAATATTTTTTAAGAATTAAGTTGATTCCTTTTAAACTGTTTTACTGAACTGACAATACATATTAAGTGCTTATCATTTATGCCCTTTAGGCGCTCACAGTCTAATTGATTAGTCACTCCTTTTTCTTTCTTTTAAAAAATAATTTTCCTTCAGTTTTACTTGTTGGCCTAGATATTTCTTCTTACTTGGAGGTGATATAGGACCTTCTTTCTCTTATACTGAATTAATATTTACTCTATTGATTCCCAGGTCTGAGCATCTGGTTTTAGTTCTAAGCAGAAATGAACCCATTTTTCTTGGTACTGAGTGAGCATTTCTTGACAGACCAGGATTCTCCAGTGCTTTTTGGAGGAAAGAGCTGACTATAGCAGAACAATGCTGAGGCATTGCCAAACCTTCAGAGGAGCACCTGGCTCCTCCCAGCCAGTGTCACGCCTGGTCTTCTCTGTTTCAGCTCTTCAATCCTTAACTGCCAGTAGAGGCATTTTCAAGAAAATGTTGAAGATAATTTCAGGAACTTAGGATTGAAATAGTAGGGCGATGTAAATGATAGAATTGAGAAGCACTAACAGAGCTAAGGAGTGAGAGCTTTAAACAGTATTTTTAAATTTATATACAATTAGAAGAATAAATAGACTTACAGAAATAAATAGACAATAGAAGAATAAATAGACTTTTCATCCCAATTAGCTGGGTAATGTTATTGAATACTTTTTTATTGTAATCTGTGATAAAATGCCATTTATGTAACCAATAAGACATAGTGTGGCCGTTGAGCCAAGTTTGTGGTTTACCTTTGACCGTAGTTAAAACAAATGTGATCAATGAACAATTGGTGTTACAGCTGGATACAAGCAGGACTTTGTAAGAAGAGTCTTGAAATCTTTAGCTGAAGTCTTTCTCACCACTGTACTGAAGCTGAAAGTGTTTCAAAGCTAGTAGGCAGCCTTCTTTAGATGTATCTTATTCACTTGAAATTAAAGACAGAAGCTCTCCTAATCACAAAAATTCTTTTGCCATAATTAATAACTTGGGATTTTTAAATTGCTTTTGAGTACGGTAAGAAAATTAAGGAAATTACACATTTTGGATGTGCTCAGTACCTTACAACAGGAATAGTTTCAGCTATGTCTGTCAAAATGATAGGTATGCTCTACCTTTGATTTGAATACCCACTGTCTCTTCTGGTATATATCAAATCCCAGAGCTGAAGCTCCTCAGGGATATGGTACTGCTGGTTCTGTTATAAAAATGAGTCAATAAATGTATAGGCTGGAAGTGGCATTTACCAAGGAAATATGCCTGAAATGAAATGAAGACCTACTTTCTAATGTGCTTCTTTTTTAATCCTCTGCATACTGTGATGGAATCATAGGTTGATGCTCCAGGCTTCCCCTTGAATGAATGCCTGTGGGCTAGGCTAGAAGCTGTTTTCTTTGAGGTTTGTCTCCTGTCCAAACCCATGGGAAGCCCAAGCTCCTTTCGTTTTCATTCTTTTCTAACTCTAGTGCTTTTGAACACAGAACCTCCATCCTCCCACTACCCAAACTCCACATTCCAACCCCGTGATTTCATGGTACCCGGCATGTCTCCCCTGCCATGCCGTCAGGCCGCCTGCTGACTCTTGCAGAGGGAACAGACGGGAACATAAACTCACTGCAGAAGAGCAGGACATTCTCTGTATATTTTTAAGACCAGGTATCCAGTTCCCATTTAGAGGCTGTATTTTTTAATAGTGCCTTGAAAATTGAACAAAACACTTCTTGTTAGTCTCGTTGCTTGATAATATCATTCCCTCTGCGCTAATGTATAGAGGGAACTAGAGAATGAAAAAGATGTATTAGATCATTTCTAGCCCATTCCCACTGGTCACGATACTTTTTTCCCACAGTCTCTTCTCTAGTGCTTTTCTCTTCTAGTTTTCTCAAAGATTTGTTTTCTCGATTTCTCCTGGGGAATAATTTCTGAGTTTGAAGATGGAGAAATATATGTGAAAATATTCCTATTTTTTTCAGCTTAAAATTCTTAGTCTTTATAATCCTTTACATTACCATAAACAGTCCCTTATCTTCCTAGGTCAAGTGTTTCAGGATGGTATTTTTTTCCTTTCCATTTATTAACTTCAGAGTTTGTTTTTCTGCTTTGCTTTCTCCCTTCATCAATCAGTCCCTAAAGCCCATTAATCATTTCTTACTGCACTGAAAATTCCTTTGCTTATTCCCATATCAGGAATCCAAAGCTGGTTAAGGTCCCTAGGTCCTGGAGGAAGCCTCAATAATAGGTACTCATTCTATGCTAACTTCTCTCTCTGTCTCAATTCTCAAGTAGGAATTATTTTTAAAATACTGTTTCTAGATTATGATCTGGGGATTTCATCACTTGAAAGCCTTTTATGTGTGTGTTTGTGATTTTGAGTGTAAGATTATGTTTGTTCTCAATTACCTGAAGGATATTTTTCATATCCTCAAAGCCAGAAATCATTTGGGTCTCCTCCTGAGTTCTTGGATCAAGCACAATTCTGGACCATGGAACTATGATGTAGCATTCTGTTTTAGGGCTGCCATCTTAGGAGTTGAGAGGAAAATAGACTGTACTTGTAGGATTTGGAATACTTGGGGAAAAGGTAGTGCCAAATTTGAGTAGCCTTGGCACTCACATATCAAAAGTAGATTAGCTCTCAGGAGCTAGCATTAGGTATAAAAAAGACTTCACATGGCTTGTGGCTTCCTGGATTGGAGGACTTAATATTATAAAGATGTCAGTTCTCCCCGAAACAATCTTTAGATGCAGTGTGATCCCAGTCAGCAACGTCAACCAACACTTGCAGCTTCTAATCTGATCTAAAAAGAAGAAGAAAAAAATGAAAAGGATTTTTTATTTTTTCCCTCTTGGGACTTGACAAGATGATTCTAAAATATATTGATACATATAAAGGGCCAAGGATGAATAAAGTACTCTTGAAGAAAAAGAAGGTGGAAAGCCTTGCTTTAGTAGGTCCCAAGATGTATTTTTAAAAAGCAATGTGATACTGACACAGTTACAGACAGATAGACTAATGAGTCAGAATTGAAAGACCAGACCCTTTCCAGATTCTTCTTACAGGGATCCTTGATTTATGATGGCGATGGCATTTCAAAGCAGTGGGAAGAGACAGTCTTTTCAATAAATGGTGCTAGAATAATCAGATATTCATATAGGAAAAAAAGAAGAAATTAGATGCTTACCTCACACCGTATGCAAAAAACTCCAGATGGATACAGACCTAAATGTGAAGAGTAAAGATAAAACTTTAAGGCGCACACACACACACATTGTATATATGCATGTGTATGTGTCTAGCTATATGTATATAGCCGTATATGCACACACACCCCCCCCACACACACACACACACGTGCACCTTCATAACTGTAGGGTATTGAAATACTTCTTCTATGATACAGTAACCTGTTATCAGAAGTTATGTATTTGATTCATAAAATTAAGTACTTGTCTTTATCAAAAGATAAGATAAAGAGAAGACAGCCATACAATAAGACAATATTTGCTCTACATGTAATTGAAGAATATTAGCATCTAGAATATGTACAGATTCTTAAATCAATAAAAGACAATCCAATCTGAGAAAAACAGGCAAAATAATTTAAATAGGCTTTTCATAGAAGAGGAGGTAAAAATAGCTAGTAATCATAAAAAGAGTCCCCAACTTCTTTAATAATCAAAGAGAATTAAACCATAATGAGATTCTACCTCATTTCCATCAGATTAGCTAAAAATAAAAAGATTGCTAATACCAAGTGTTGATGAGGATATGGAACAACAGGAACTTCGTAGAAAGTGTATGTTACATACTTAGGAATAGTTCACCACATTGAAGTACTACAGTTGAAGATACATATACATACCTTATGACTCAGCAATTCTGCTCCTAGCTATATACACTAGAGAATCTTGGCTCACTAAGATACCTGTATAATAATGGTCTTTTTTGTCCCCGTAATTTTATTTTGCAGATTTTTAAACTGACTGAAAAATTGCAAAATTAATACAATGAATATGATAACATCTTAATAGATGGTAGCTAAGCAAAGCATAGTAGCTAGTAGAGAGAACGTACATGGGCTTTGAAGTCAGTGATATATGGCTTGAAACTTCAACTCCACCACTTACTAGCTGTGTGACCATGGGCAAGCTAATGAAATCTGTGAGCCTCATGTCTCTCATCTATAAACTGGAGGTAATAATATACCTACCATATTAGGTATTATAAGGATTAAATGCATTAATATATGTAAAGCACTGGGCATAAATGCTTGCAACATAGTAGTTCAGTAAATTATTGCTGCTTTTGTTTTTTTGTTTTCGTGGTGGTTAAAAATGATAATGATGCATTTTATTTTCTCAGGGCCTTTTAGTTACAGCATATTACTGATACATACTCATTTTTGGTTTTTCACGATGGAATGTATTACAAAATAATTCAGGGGAAAAATAGCAATTTTTTTTAGTTTGTATTGCGTTTTTTTTCTTTTCATTTTCCTATTATAACTTCAGCATTAGGAAGTACAAACCAAAGGGAAAATATGACCAGGGTGCAAATGTTTTTTATAATTTAAATAATTATATAGAATTAAAATTTCCTTTTGAAGAATTGAAAACCCAAATATGATTTTATTAAAAGTAAAAGGAAACCAAGGCATAGAAAATTTAAATAACCTTATTAAGAAGTAATATTAGAAATAGAGTATATATTTTCTAATTTCTAGCCCAAGATCTCATACACTAAATTATGATATCAAAAATATAAACAAAAATCTTAAGGCAATAGCAGTAGCCTTTAGCACTAATGCTAAGGCCTTCATTTCCTTAGCTGCAAAAGAAATTAAATCACATGAAAAACTCTCGAGGCCCCTTTAATCTCCAGTGAAATTTGATTCTATGTCTGAAGGCCTCCTCATTGACCACCAAACCTCAGTTACCTTTTCCTCTTGGGAATTCCTCTCTGAACCCTATTCTGTATCATTCCAAACTGGTCATGATTATGTTACCATGTTATACCTTTACTTGCCTTTTCATAAACAATATCGTCTATCTCCTATTACATCACATTCTCTTGGGGATGCAGATCTTTTCCTTTTTTTTCTTTCTTTCCTTTTGTTTTTTGTTTTTTGTTTTTTGTTTTGAGACGGGGTCTCGCTCTGTTGCCTAGGCTAAAGTGCAGTGGCATGATCTTGGTTCACTGCAGCCTCCACCTCCCGGGTTTAAAATTCTCCCACCTCAGCCTCCCAAGTAGCTGGGATTATAGGCGCACCACCACGCCCAGGTAATTTTTGTATTTTTAGTAGAGACCGGGTTTCACCATGTTGGCCAGGCTGGTTCCAAACTCCTGACCTCAGGTGATCCACCCTCCTTGGCCTCCCAAAGTGCTGGGATTACAGGCATGAGCCACCACACCCAGCTGCAAATCTTTTCTTATGTGTCTTTATATTTGTACACGTTTGAGTGCAAAAACATTTTTAATATCTATTTTTTTTTGTCCCTAGTAGCACCTAGCATAGTGATTTACAGAGTAGGCCCAAAATAGATGGATGATGATGACTGTCAGATTGTAGTTTACAAAAATATAACTAGCTCCCATAGCTATGATAACATGGGCATAGGATTCATGGGATTCTGCCTCAAAAGCAAATATGTTTGTTTTCCTTTGTTCCAGAAAGACAGCAAGAAGCGAATATTTTCTGGCATTCAACCTACAGGAATCCTCCACCTGGGCAATTACCTGGGAGCCATTGAGAACTGGGTGAGGTTACAGGATGAATATGACTCTGTATTATACAGCATTGTTGACCTACACTCCATTACTGTCCCCCAAGACCCAGCTGTCCTTCGGCAGAGCATCCTGGACATGACTGCTGTTCTTCTTGCCTGTGGCATAAACCCGGAAAAAAGCATCCTTTTCCAACAATCTCAGGTCAGCTTCTCAGATTAGAACTGAGAAAACTTTTATTTGCAGATTATTTGAGGAAAAAATGTTGAATGGTTCACACAGCCCCTGCTTGTGATTTTTAAAAAGTGTTTGAAGGTGACTTTTTCAAAAGTGATTTTTTTTTCAGCTTAATGTTTTACTTGTGTTTATATCATTAACTATCATTATATTGTAAGAGTATTTTTCAGCTTTTCCTCTACTGTATTTGGTAAGTTTATGATGCTTCATATACCAAAGAGTTGTGTTTCATGAGTACTTCTAGCCCTGGAGTTGTTTTGCTATGCTGGGTTGCTTTCAAACTGATTACTTTGTATTGTTGACTAATCTCCTTGTGATCAGGGATATAAATTAGTGACCAATAGTTTTATGTAATTCCAATGTTGCTTTATTAGATGTTGTATTTGGAAGGTCTGTTGGATAATTCCCACTGTTCATTCTTTGTTTTTGAGAAGATTTGATAGCACAAGTTGGGAAGTTGGAAGACAAAGTTTCAGTGTCTTGTGTCTAGGCCAAGAAAGGCTTCATAGTAAAGCCAAAATATTTGACTCATATCTTCACTATGGATGAATCAGTTTATTCTTGGACAGGCAGATAGTCTGGTCTAGAGACAAGGCAATCAAGATACACCCTAGGAAAAGATAAAAATTCTAACTAGATCGTGCCTTCATTATGTATCTGCTTTAACCTTAGGACAAAGCCCAGCCAAGGAATGGTATGTTATACATGCTATGGTATATGTTAACATGCGTGCATATATGTAACCTTCTTTGATTGTACATTTCTATCATTATTTTTATATATGTTTTGTTATACATAAAACTTAATGTAACAATTCTTACAGAGCAGACTGTTAAAAAATATGTGATAAATGAAAAGAGTATAATGATCCCTTGGCATCCAAAGAGTGTTGGTTCCAGGACCACCAAAGCTACCAAAATCTGCAGATGCTCAAGTTCCTTATATAAAATGGAATCATATTTGCATATAACCTACACATATTCTCTCGTATACTTTAAACCATCTCTACATTACTTGTAATAACCTAATACAATATAAATGCTCTGCAAATAGTTGTTATACTGTATTGTTTTTTAATTTGTATTACTTTTCTATTGTGGTATTGTTATTTTTTGATGCCTAAATACACATTAATTTCATATATATATATAAATTTTTTAAATTTTTAGAGATTAGGAGGGTGTATGTGCAGTTTTGTCACATGAATATGTTGTGTAGTGGTGAAGTCTGAGCTTTTAGTGTCCCTGTCACCCGAATAGTGAACATTGTACTCAATAGGTGATTTTTCAACCAACATCCTCTTCCCCACTTTTGGAGTCGCTCTGTATGTCCATGTGTACCTATTGTTTAGTTCCCACTTATAAGTGAGAACATGCAGTATTTGTTTTTCTGTTTCTGAATGATTTCACTTAGGGTAATGGCCTCTATTTCATGTTGTCCTCCATGTTGCTGCAAAAGACATGATTTCATTCCTTGTTATGATTGTGTAGTATTCCATAGTGTATATATAGTGGTGGTGTTATTTTTTATTTGTTGTTTTTTCCTAATATTTTCAATCTGCTGTTTGGTTGAGTCCATGGATGCAGAACACACAAATTCAGAGGGCCAACTCTATGTTTAAAAAATAAATGCAGTTATCAACTTTGTTGCCAGCTTGGAGATAATTTGATAAAATAATAGAATCTGATCATTAAAAGGACCATAAAGGCAATTTACCGCAACTCCATTCCTTATAGTTGGTCAGGAAGGCTTTACTTGCACATGACTTTTCAAATTCAGTGTTGGACAAATCCAGTTACTATAAAATACTTGCTTTTATTGACTGAATATCTACCTCCATATAATTTCCATTCGTTCATTTAATTTCTGCTCGGTAAAAAACACAATAAATCAACTCTGCTTCCACACAACTGCTCTTCAAATACTTGGAAAGACATTTATTATGTACCATTTGTATCTTACTCTGTAGGTCCTTACCGTATAGGTCTTTCCTTCTACAAACTAGCTATCCCAAGGTCTCTCGCCTTCTTGGTCATCCTCTCTCAAAAGCACTCTCATCTTCTTTCTGAAAAGAACGTGCCTCAAGCTTCACATCCATTGCCAGCGTTGGAGAGCTGTTCATCAGTAGAGCCACTTTTTGAGTCACCTAATGCATTTTGCAAAGCACATCATCTTCACTTCATCTAAGCTGTTTTTAATACAAGCTGGCTTTTGATCCTTACCAGATACTATTTCTAAAAATTATATTCCCAGCCACAAGTACCTATTTCCATACTTCTTGTGGATGAATGTCTAATCTCCACAAAGTAACCACTTGCCAGATTGCTTTTTAAAATGGTCTTTAATATTAAAGACTTATTTACAACTACATCCTATACTTGCACTTTGAACTCAATCTCTCAGGAATGATTACCATATTATAATTTTTTTCTACTTTGTAAAGGATTTTAGCAGTGACCTTCATAAGCATCTAAAATTTGCAATAATTGAGATATTTTCTTCCATGTGGTACTTTGTTGTTCAAAATAGCAATTGAAAAAGTAACCCACTATATGGGAGACTTTGTAAAGACTTCCCCATAAAGGAGGGACAAAATTCACCTTCTCTTAAAATGGAACCTAATGAGCTCATTGGGTCTAGGTCGGAGAGTGGAAGGGGCAGAGTTGACTGGTGTGTGCCTGTCTTCTCCTTATAGCTTTAATGCAGTTGTAAAGCTGTTTAATAATTCGCCTCTTTGCCATCCCTCACTTCAGCTCCATTGTGGAGAATTTTCATAGTTTGCCAGCAAAATTTAAGGGAGGCACTCATCTTGCCTACATTATACAATTTGTCTCACAAAGGCAATATGAAAAATTTCCTCAGGTGTCTTTGTAACCTAAGATAAACTTGGTTCTTAGCCATTTCATTCTTTGACTCAGGCAACCAACCTTATTACAACTCGATGGATGGATGGATGGATGGATGGATGGATGGATGGATGGATGGATGGATGGGATAGTTTATCAGGCTTTCTTTACCCCTTTTTAAAAAAAATGTAATTTAATTTAAAAATGTTTTTAACAATTTATAACAGTAGAGAGAATAATATACTGTACCCCATCTCTTGTTAACATTTTGTTATTTATCTCACTGATGTTACTTTCTTTTCTTTTTTGAAAGAGAGATAGGGTCTTGCTCTGTTGCCCAGCCTGGAGTGCAGTGGTGTGATCATAGCTCACTGCAGCTTCAAACTCCTGGGCTCAACATCCTCCTCCATTAGCCTCCTGAGTAACAGCTGAGACTTCAGGTGTATTCCATCATACCTGGCTTTTTTTTTTTTTTTCTTCGAGAAATGGGTCTCACAACGTTGCCCAGGCTGGAATCAAACTCCTGGGCTCAAGTGATCCTCCCAACTTGGCCTTCCAAAGTGTTGGGATTATAGGAATGAGCCACTGTGCCTAGTCGATGTTATTTTCTTTGTTGAAGTATTTCAAAGCAGATACTGCACATCATGGCATTCCAATTCCTAAATATTTTAGCGTGCCACTATAAATCCAGGAAATTTTCTTACATTACCGTAATACTGTATGACACCTAACAATGATCATTCCGTATTATCATCTAAAACCCAAATTACCCTGACTCTCCCAAAAATGTATTTTATAGTAGGCTTGTTTGAGTGAAGATCTACCAAGGTTCACATATTATATTTGGTTATGGATCTTAAGTCTCTTTTCTTTATGCCTTTTGATTTGTTCATCACACTTTATTTCCTGTAAAGTTAGTCCTGTGCTTAAAAATAATTAAAACTTTGATTTTTTATGCTTCTACTTTTTTTCTCACCTTTGATGTATTGATCAAGTTTTCTTTTGTTTTCTATAAAGTTAGTTCTTTTGAACTTCAAAATCTTAGTTTTTTAGTTGCTTTCTCTTTACACTAATCTGTGTTAGCTGATGGTTAGTGACTATAAACTACTGTCCCACATAGTTGCTCATCACCATTTTCATTAATTTGAGTAGAAGCTGTGCTTATCTACTGCCCATGGATTACCTAGAAATGACCATTAGACATCAGCTCCATTAGAGTGGCCATAATGCTTCAGTTTGTTCATGGATGCTGATGGAAAGGTCCTCCTCATGCCTTATCTTTACAGCCATGAAGGCATGTATTGGCTTTTGCTTCTTAGAACCATTTTTCAGGTAGAAGTATAAGTGAATAAACCAGTCTTCTGGAAACAGTTATTATCTTAGCCACATGACCCCATTATTTACAGAGTTCTAGTAGGTGAAAAATCATCATGGCGATGACTTAGGTTTTGTAATACAAAAATCAATAATCAATAACTGTCTTTTTTTCTTTTTCATTTTCTTCTTTTTAACAGGCAATGCTAGGAAGAATTTTTTCTTTTTTCTTTATTTTATTTTATTATTATTTTTTTTTCCAGATAGAAAACTGAATATGCTTTATAGCCAAGTAGCCAGATCTATTAATTCAGGGTAGGAAAAATGTAAGCATTTTATCTTTGCATGACAAAAAGAATCTGAGATAGAGCACATAAAAGCTAAAGCCCAGGATAAATTATTCAAAATATAAGAAAGATACAAGGAAAATTAATAGATGCCTTGAACAGAATAAGAGTGCTAAAGGTATATGACCCACCACACAGAAGGTTTCTTGAGGGGTGTCTGTAGCAACAGTAGTAATAGCACTGGCTGAAAGACATTTAGGTCTTCACCAACATCTGTTTGAGTAGGAAGCAGGGATGTGAAGGTGACAAAACTGGAAAGGTTCTGTTCTTTAAAACTCCCTATGAAGGAAAGAGATTCAGCAATCCTGGTCAGTTCTCAATATCTCTAGAGAAAGTGCCTCTGTTAAGTCATCCAAAGGGGTAAGGTGAGGTAATGCACATGATCTGTCAATTCATCAATATCATCACTTCAATAGTGGCTCAGGGATCCCAATGGTAGATTTCTGACTGGATTCCTGGA